CATTATCTAGCATGATATTTTGTTCCAATATCACGCGTGATATTGAGAGTGTATAAGAGCGGAAAAATATCATTTGATTGATGATTTTACCAACACTGCTTTCAAGTGAGTTTTGTTGAACTCCCGAATCCAGGAAAATCGTAAGGAGAATTTCAAAGTAGCTATGAGTAGAATCCCACGGGAACATTCCAACAGAATACTGAGGATGATTCAGAGGTAATTCCAATAGAGTTCTGACTTAATTTTGAGGTGAATTCTAACGATTTTTAAGGAATGCTCCGAAGTACTTGTGAGTAGAATTCCAAGGGTCTGACAAGGATTCAATAAAAGTTCTTAGTATAATTCCAAAGGTGTTCTAAGGAGTATTCCAATTGAATTCTAAGGAATGTTTCAAGAAAATTTACAATGATGGGTTGAGGTAAATTCCCTCCCCTTGGCTAGTTTTTTAACCTGGACGTTGGTGGGCGGGCCTAATCTTATGCTTCATAGTGGAGCGTTGGAGACGGTTGGTTTAGGTCCGGCATCGTTGGCTCATGCCGTGACAGAATAGCGTCATGAGCATGCGATGAGGATTACTGAGCTTCATGCTTGGCATGCACAGTTTTGGTCACAAACTGCTCATTTGCTAGTGACTTGCACACATTTGACAAAACGTAGTTCTGTTTGAAGCAGTAGATAGAGTAAAGTTCAGAGAGGTACGTAAGAGAAGGTAGATTTTAATTCTAGTAATAAACTGCATTTGTTTTTGCATTGTAAAATGAAGTGAGAAATGCTCGCTGCACATCTCGGACTTTAAGTGTAAAAATTCATTGGTGTTGATTCAAATGTTAAGATTTACCTACTCTTTGTATATCTATAGTAGGCTATGATTCTGGTCTATCAATTACTTTAAGGAAAATCAATTTTCAACAACTGAGTGAGGGGTTGTTGGCAAATGAGCGGTTGGTGTGTACGACTGTGCATGCCAAGCATGCTGAGCTTCCCCTCTCTGATGAACCATTGCATAAGAGAACCAAAGTTCTAGCCTGAAGTGATAGTATCACACTTGTTACTCCTTTAGTTGAAAGCCGCGTCGTAGTACGCTTACGTATAGGCACTGACGTTGGGTGTGATACTGGCGGGTTTAGCCGCAAATCACTCTTATTTTATTTATTTTTACGCGGATAGATTTATTTGGGTTTGCAAGGGAATTATACTATTGAAATATTTCAGAAAGTGCCCAACAGTGCTCCTTCTACTTGCGTGACAAGCTTTCGTTGTTGTTTTCGTTGAGGTATTACTCAGGGAACAATGTTAAACACCATTTTTGTACATGGTATTGCAACTAATCTTATATGTGCTTCATTTTGATTTGGGATAAGTGTTTGACCTATGGTTCGGGATTTCCACTGTGGCGTGCTTCTATTGTGACATAACCATACGTATTTTTTAGGTGCGACATAGTGGAAACGTGTGAGCGTAGTTGAAGCATATACCCTATGTAATTAAAAAATCAGCTAGGAAACTACCCTCTAAGTGAAGCATTTTAGTCACTTGAAGGTGTCAAGTGGGACGAACTAATATATATTAAATATATGTCAAAGTCAAAAACAACTTGAAACACGTTAAATTTTAGATTACATTCACAAGTGCAGGTACTTAATAAAGCATTGTAGGTAGATTAGAGATTTCAATTATTTGTTAAATTAGACAAGAGATATCATAATCATCAAACGAACTTAAATAAGAAAATTTAGACAGCCTAGTAGCATTAAGTGGATTAACAGAAGAGTTAGGATGCGGAGGGTCCGCTTAGGGAGGCAACTAGCCTTTAAAGCAACTGGCAATTAGCCTTTTCATGTATTGTCTGTTTATTTTGATTATTGCTTTAAAATATCGATTTGGTATATATGTGAAAGGATGAATCAGTGGGAGATGGATTTTCGGTTTCTTTACATTTAGCATCACTATGTGTCATTTCCTCAAAACCCTTCAATAACCGGCCTCTTCAATCCCTTCCTTTTCCCATGGCGTTCAAGTGGTCCGCATAGACTATTCAGCCATTACCCGTCCTTTATCCTCGGCTTTGGATTGACTTGCGCTCCCATTGCCCCACCAAACGCTGCAAAATGAAAATGAAATGAGGTTGAGGTAAATTTTTAAAGAAATACTTAGGAGAGTTGCAGGGCTGGTAGCGTGTCACTTTTTAGTGACTTGGTCACTTTTTTCAAGCTTCTTTTTTTTTAAGGCCAAGTCACTGAAGTCACTTTTCTTGAAATAAGTCACTATTTTCCACTTTTTTGCGTGAATTTATTTCAAGATTGATTATTCTTTGCGTTGAGACGTTTAGTCTTCTTTCGCTATATACCGGATGTCTACTCATTTTTCTGGATAAAATTACTTGAGTTTTCCAAGTAAGTAAGTCCAAGATATAAAAATATTCAATGTCTTGAAGTTTCGTATTCCATATTTCAAGATATTGAAAATATTCAAAGTGCCAGAATAAAGTAAAAAATAAATAAATGATATATTTCAAGTTCATAATTAACATTATGAAAGATCAGAGATCTTCAATGCAGTCCCATTAACTTTACAACAATTGTAGGAACTTTGGAGAAGTTCTGAAGAATGAAAGGAAATGCTGAGAATTTCAGTGAAGCTCTATGACTGGATACTGTAAGAACCTTAAAGCGATTCTTTTAGCATCCGAGACTTTTCAGGAACTTTAATGAACTTTAATGAACTTTAAGTTGTGATTTGAAGACCATTTTGCAATCGAAGCTAACGAAAACGTCTCATGGTGGTGGACTGAAAAACGTTCCACCCCATCAACTTGAGATTAATCAATAGACTTGCTATTTCCTACGGTTAATGTTTCGCCTAATGAATGCCTGCCGATCTTAATTATCATCATGATTTTCCATGGATCGTGTTCCGCAAGTTCACAAAACGGTTGCAAGATAATCAAACTAGCTCAACCGGATGCACCCGTTTCCGGCCTAAGATGATCTTCACGCTCCACCTTCCTTATGGTTTATTGACTCTCTTAGGCACCACTATTTCGAAGTTCTTCCGTTCTTTCGAGAACATTTTTTTTTACAAAACGATGACTCGCATTTGACAAATAAAACCAATCTAAACGATGCGTCAGCGCTTTGTATTAGAAAAAAGGAAGACAGACGCAAGGTGAACAAACAAAACCTCGATCGTACGTCATGCAGGCTGCAGCTCTCTGTTACGACGATGGCCACGAGGTGGATCTTTTGCGTCAGATATCATTCCAAACTTAAGGCTGGCAACAGAGAAGTTTGCGAAAATAATCGAAGCCCAAGATCGCCAAAAGCACACACACTATCGATCTTCTCCGAGTGTTCTTTCAGGCCCGCAAAGTGTGAATAACGATGTCGATGGAAACTTCTTGCGTCATCCTTGACGACTGTCAAGGATTATCACTTCGAATTAAGCCATTCGCCACGCGCTGCAGCAGTTCAAACAATGTATGGTGCAGAATGGGCATGAGGAACTTTCACTCATCGCCAGCGGCGAACAGTGGGACGAAATCAAAAATAGTAGAACATGGCTATTTGCGACGAATATACTTGAAAAAATGGTCATGAAAACAGCAAGACATTGCTAAACATTGAGGTGCTTTATTTTAAAATTCATTAGGCATCCCCTTGGATCCCCCTATGAGTTGTATTGCTGAACTAAATGATGCATTGAAAAAAATGTTAAAATTCAAACAAAAAAGTTATGGGAAAATCGCTTTTTAAGGGGGTACCACCGTTTGTACTCCATTTTCACCCTATAACTTCGTCCACTTGATGTTTTTCTTCGATAAAGTTTCTTAAAATTACTTCATCTACAATGTTTCTATAGATGTACATCAATTTTAAAGAGACTTAAAAAAGTTTTTTTTGAGTGTTGCTCCCCTTAAGTGCAAATTTTCAGTACTTAATGAAAGTACTCATAAAATGAAGAAACAACATTCCAGAAGACATCAAAATGTTACACGCAATAGTTTCGTCGCAAATAGCCACGTCCCACTATTTTTGATTTCGTCCCACTGTGCGGCAGCGCAGCGGGGATGGTCAATTCACGCGCAATTTGCCATTAGATGGCGCTATAAATATGCTTCATCACCTTATTCTCTTTTTTTTGTTACGGTTGATTAACAACAACCGATGTTGTTTGATTCTATTGAGATTCGAAATGGCATCGTGTGATATTTATACGCCAGGTATCATCCGATCAGACGTGTTCGGCTCGCTCTCTATTTTTAATTGATCTCTATTCAGGACGGTCGATGGCATGGTGGTGGCTGAGATCATGTAACGTCCGCTATTTATCTAGAACCAGTGGACGTTCCTTTCTAGCTCGAGTAATGTGAATGGATGGAATTGATAATTTTTTGTCACCCCTTATTTTGTGTTAACACACAAAACAAATTCAAACTACTTCGTGACATGTAACACATGTAAACAGCAAGTGCATAGTGTATACGTTGATCTATCATCAATCTTGTGATTCATCACATGATCTGAATTTATTTCCGCTGGTAACTGGCAACCGGGTGACGTGGAATGCATTTGATTCATCTTACACATCTTATCACCGATTAGCAACATCACTCTCGGTGAGATCCATGACTTGAATGTGATGACTTTACACCCTGAGACTGTTTTTAATTGCTAGAGATTAGCCCATAACCAATCTCCTCGAAGCAGTGAAAGTTCAGAAAACGACACTAAATCTCACCGTTCCACGTTTCCCTCCCAGAAGCTAACCATCAACCTATCAGATTTCCGCTTGAACTTTCTACCGCGTAGTTTTCCGTCATGCGTTATTTAAACAGAACAAGCAGGAGCTGGAAGGTTCCGCAATAAATCTGTCCTTGTCCGGAGTGTGCACACTTGACATTCGTCTTAATTGAGATAAATTACCTCCCGACAGATTTCTCTCGTCTATTTGTTGTGCGCTTTTGGCCTAACGACGTTCTTTGTGCTTCTTCTTCTTTTCAGACAATTTGTAAACCGGCACCGTTTTCGGACGAATTGGATGCACTTACCGAGCTGGACCGATGCGATTACACACAGAAAATCACCTACCAAATGGCCAGATCCGGCACGGCCCCGCGGAGGATCCGCGTCTACGCGGACGGTATCTACGATCTGTTCCACCAGGGCCACGCCCGGCAGCTAATGCAGGTGAGTCGACCTAGTTACGATACCAAAGCTGCAACGGCTAATTAATCGATTCGATTCTTCCATACGATTGCAGGCCAAGAATGTGTTTCGCAACGTGTATCTAATTGTCGGCGTGTGCAGTGATGAGCTAACGCACAGCCGGAAGGGCCGCACCGTCATGAACGACGACGAGCGCTACGAAGCGGTCCGGCACTGTCGCTACGTGGACGAGGTGAGTTGCGTTGTTTACCTTTCGGGTCGTCGAGGAATAAATACGACTGGGGGTCAAACAGCGAAAAGATTAGCGGCACAATCGAAAGTGTTCGATCCGAATTGAGTCATTTCCTTTGAACTGTCATTGCAATATGTATACTGCAGCAAGCGGTTACAGTATTAGAAATTAAGTAGTGACATTGTTCGTTTGGTACATCTAGCTAGATGCAAGGTACCGCTGTAGTAAATGTGCATTATTTCCACTGAATGCGGTTAATAGCTTCCTGAATCTAAGAACATTTACTCCATTGTTATAATACGACCTTGTTTGGCTATTCTTGCACCGATGTATTTACTTCTGGAAGCACTTTTCAAGGCACTTCTACACATGTAGGATGCAAGTTAGCTGGGGGTCATCACAGCAGTGAGATCAATCTAAGCCCATACTATGTGAACCTCTACAGTTGTAGATCAAGTTAGTCAAATAGAATTTGTTGTCCGGAGCTTACAGCGACTGCAATCTGGATGATCTGAAAAAAGATTTGCTATACGAAGATATTGATTCAGGCTGGCCATGGACCCGAGAAAGCCGGGAGAACCGGGAAATTGAAAATCCAAGCGACATTTCTCGCAGGCATCACTGGTCTCCCAATGTCTATAATGTCCCTAATTACGTCAAAAGTCACTAGTCCAACTAGACACTTCAGTTTAGTCCTGGTGGCATAAATTATCTATATTTCTATATCTCTATTTAGAATTTTGATCTTTTTTTTTTCAAATTCGATATTCTTAACTTTTTTACTATCGGAATACCAAATAGACTGAGATTTAAAAAAAATTGCAATATCATACAGTCTCAAAAATTTGTCAAATCCAAGATAGTGTATACAGTCCACTCTGCACAACTTCATGTCCACTAACTCGATATCGAATTCTAGAATAACTAGAACCCTAGTAATATCTCGATGGTGTGTGTGTGTGTGTGTTTGTGAGTGTACAATCTAACCCACTGTCCGGCAGTGTTATTATGGAAGAAAATTGCTTTTTATTCCCCTCAATTAAAGCAGGTTTAGTCCGGGAGTTGTAGTAGTAGTAAAATTATGTTTATTTCTGTTGATTATGGTAGTACATTGATTTATCATTTTAATTGATTAGCCTACTTGGCTCTTCATCTTTGTTTAATTTGATATTCTAATTTAATATTTGCGTTTTTCAACTAGTTTACAGAATATTCCTTTGGGGATGTGTTTTATTTGAATTGATAACCTACCTAACTACGAGTATATAGTCCGGGAGTTAGAAGGTGTTAGCTCTATTGCAGCTCCACTGACCCATTTCAGAATGCAAGCGAGCCAACATCAACACCGATTGTGCCGAGCTCTTTCACGCACCTTGCAGCCCTTTAAATAAACTGAAATTAAAAATTATCACTCGCAATGCCATTAATTCCTGATCCGGGAGAAAATCAAACAACGCAGATTGAGACATCTCTTCTGATGCTTGCAAACATGTTGAATCACGTTTTCTTTCTCTATTCTAAAACTTCCCGGAAAGCGAGAAAACTACCAATCACACTGCCAGCGCTAATCCGGCAAATGCAGCCGAAAACGACACTCAAAAAATTCCACACGTTTGATCGAAGTGTTTAAACACTTGATTTTTTAAATGCAGAATCACATTTACTTTAAGTGTATTTCACCTTAGTTCAATGTGTTATACACGTTAATTTCTAGTGTTTCAAACTTTGAAAAGTTGAAAATTTTTCACTATCTATTCAAGTGTATTTCACATTGAATCACACTACTGTTCAAAACAGATGGATTTAAAGCGTTTTGCATTTCAATACGATGTGAATGTCTTGCTCAGAAAGGTAAACATCGAAAACAAGAGTTGTGACTTTATCCTATCAGCCCGCCTCATATATGAGGACAACCGTGGGAGTGAGATCGACAAGTGAGATCGAACGAAGACTCCGACAGCAGCACACCCCAACAGTCCATGATCGAATCCCAAATCAGACCCATTAAAAAGATATGTGAAAGCTCTGGCCTCTGAAATTTGTTTATATATTTGTCGATTCATTTTTAGAGTTGGTAAAGTAGAAGTCGATAAAGTAGAATATGGTGATATGTGATGTGCAAAGCTATTGATATCACCATATGAAGCACATAGAATCCAAGTGTGTCGCAATTCAAATCCATAGTGTTCAGGCATGGTTCATAGCATAAGATTCACACATGAAATGGATGTGTTTCACAATAAGCGCAAAATTAAGTGTAAGACACATGATGATGACGTGTGCAATTTGTTGAGTGTATGAAAGCGAACAGAGGCACAGTAAACTTTGAACGTCCAAAAAGTAAGGCATTTTCGTTAATTTTTTTAAGCAATAAAACACTCAGGGAGGGCAAATATGTTATAACCCATTTATTAGTCATCCTTCGAACTAAAATTTGTATTTTTTTTAACTCGATTGGCGTCTCCCCGTGGCCGGTGCACAAGGTCGCGCGGGCATCCTCGCGCGGAAGTCGGAAAACGGCGTGGGAAAATACTCCTTTCCATGTGATCCTGGAACATAAATCGAACAAAAATCCTGATTAGTAATGAAACTTGGGTTAGAAATACGTATTCTGATTTTTTTTTTAAATTAATTTTTTCAAAAGTTGTGGCCTTAAGAAAAAAAAGTCCATTTTTTCACCCTAAAAATGCTCACAAATACGTGGATTAAAAATCCATTTTTGACAAAATCGAAAATGTGGATACGTATTTCTAAGCAGAATTTAATTCTGAACAAGAAATCCTAGGCGATATCCAAATTTGATGATAACTGGTTAGAGTTATTTCCCACGCCAGTTTGAAAAACCCCGTTTCGAGATAAACGCGTTTAAAGATAAAATTGCTCTCTCAGCGCGCCGGTACATGTTTTAGGAAATCGCTTCGTAAAGCGGTAAGGAATATTCTGGCGGACTTGGAGTCTTTTCTAAATTAAAGTATACATCCCAAGAAACATTTTAAGCCAAAAAAAATGCATTTTTTTTTGAAAAATCAAAGTGTACTCCCCCCTTAAAACACAACCGTATCCAAAGGCGTTCGAAACTCATCCCTCCCTAGTAATATCTCGATGGTCCCTTCAATATCGAGTTGTAGAGAGTTCACTGTATTTCCTAAATTATTCGAGTGAAAATCCTAAAAATTTCTTCGTAAATCTGTGTGTGTGTGTGTGTGTGTGTGTGTGTGTGTGTGTGTGTGTGTGTGTGTGTGTGTGTGTGTGTGTGTGTGTGTGTGTGTGTGTGTGTGTGTGTGTGTGTGTGTTTTTTTTTTTTTTTTTTTTTTTTTTTTTTTTTTTTTTTTTTTTTTTTATAGTAAGGTTTAGGAAAGCTTCAAGAAGCCTGGCCTGTAGTGAAGGTGGCACGGTGTGGTATCCACTAATTGCCTAGTGCAGCTCCACTAAAACCCATTCCTTACTCTCTCCTCTGCCTGGATCCCCCCGGGACCACTGTGAAGCGACTACTTCGGGGGGTGGCTGTGCTCATGCACTTGTCGTACTCTCAGCGCTAGCTGGCGTTGCTAGATCGCTGCTCTTCTCTCCATTTACGCTGCAGCTCTGACATAATCTGTGTGACTGCCCTGCTGACGGCATTCCAAGAGTCCTCCTCTCGACACATTTCATCAACGACATTCTCCACGTTAAGGACGGGCATCTCCGTTCGCACTGCCTCGAACCTTGGACAGTCAAAGACCACATGCTCCGGCGTTTCATCGACGTTGCCACACTCCGGACAGAGGGGTGACGCTGCGTGTCCGAACCGATGCAGGTATTTCCTGAAGCAGCCGTGGCCAGACAGGAACTGCGTTAGGTGGAAATTGACTTCTCCGTGTTTTCTGTTCACCCAGGTCGAAAGAATCGGTATTAGTCTATGTGTCCATCTACCGTTCTCCGTCGTGTTCCACTCCTGTTGCCACTTAGCCAATGACTCCACTCTCACAACTTTCCGTACTCTTCCGGCTTCTCTCTGCCTGTAGCACTCGCTGTCCTCCGCCAGGGTGATGCCGATAGGGATCATACCGGCGATAACGCATACTGCTTCGGACGAGATGGTTCTGTACGCACTCACGACTCGCATGGCCATGAGCCGGAACGTACTGCTCAGTTTCCTTTGGTTCTGCTTCGTTTCCAGCGCTGGAACCCAGGCTGGACCTCCATATCTCAGTATCGATGATGACACGCTGGCCAGAAGACGCCTCTTGCTATTGCTGGGACCAGCGTTGTTCGGCATGATTCTAGCTATCGCGTTGATGGCCTTCGAAGCCTTCTCACAGGCATATTCGACGTGGCTGTTGAAGTTTAGCCGGTCATCGATCATCACTCCCAGGTATTTTAACACACGCTTCGAGGCTATGGTGTGCTCCCCGACGGTGATTTCTGCCCGCTGTACCGCTTTACAGTTACTGACCAATAACACTTCCGTTTTGTGGTGGGCTATTTGCAGCTTCGCTCCTTTCATCCAGTTACCAATCATGTCGATTGCCTCGGTTGACAACACTTCCACCTCTTCCAGCGTCTCGCCTGTTACCGTCAAGACGACGTCGTCCGCAAAGCCAACGATCTCAACTCGTTTGGGCAGTTTCAGCGTTAGCACGCCGTTGTACATCCCATTCCAGAGCGTTGGACCAAGGATGGAGCCTTGTGGAACTCCCGCTGTGATCCTAATCGATCTCTGTCCCATGTCTGTCTCGTAGACCAGAACCCGGTTCTGGAAATAACTCCTCAGGATCCTGCACAGGTAGTCAGGGACCCTCATTCTATGCAGTGCTTCGGTGATGGCCTCCCAGCTGGCGCTGTTGAACGCATTCTTGACGTCGATCGTTATCACGGCGCAATATCGATCTCCTCTCCGCTTCTGTTTGGACGCCTTTTCAGCTCTCTCGACCACTGTCCGAATTGCATCCACCGTCGATCTCCCTTTCCGGAATCCGAACTGCCTCTCCGACAATCCGTGCTCACTCTCCGTGTATTTC